CAAAGGGATATTTCAGCAAGAGGAAATGAAACGTCTTTCAGGCTGGATGATCATAGCCAGTACGTCAGCCAGCAATGCCCACTTATCCTCAGATGCCAATAGCACCAGTCAGTCAGCTTGTATTCATGCATGGAACATGAGCTGATGCAAATGCCATTCCTCGTCACCCTCGGGACGAACAACCTGTGATCTGAACCCAGGCTTTCTTTCCTTTCAGTGACATTTGATCTGCATATCCGAATGAAATTTATATATTTTGACACACCAAGTATTAAAATTAGGCCATCTAATTCTAAAATATCTGATTAATGAGGATTTTGGTTTGAAAAAAAAGATACCCTACATCAATGGAAGATTATTATTATTATTATTTCGTATTTTAGGGAGGGGTCCACAGGGTGTTCAGGGTCTCACTACTGGATCGGACTTGTAGTGATCCACTTGTTTCCAGCCTCCCAAGAGCTGGAATTACAGGTGCGCACCACCACACCCAGTCTTGGAAGTTTAAACTGGCTAATAAAAATGCATACATTTAGGATTACTTTTAAGAAGATACTACAAAATTCTATAAGTAATTCTGGAAATTTCCCAACCCTTTATTCCTTTGACCTTTCTTTTATTTCTCATTAACTTTATTGGAAATCAATAATTATATAGCATATTAAAATTATATTAAAATATTCAAATGTGAAAGATATAAGATGTAGACAGTTGAGTTTTAGAGAAATATTTCTGAAATGAGTACATAGCATGAGGTTAATAATAGATTGCACATTGTAAATAAATTATTTACAAACTTAAATGAAAATTGTCCAAAATAAAATGAAGAAGAATTTACAGATTAGTCATATAATAGTTCACTTTGTGCCAAAATCAAGAAACTCATATTCATATAATTAGAATTCTCAAAGTAGAAAGGGGTAGGCAATTAATATTTAAAGTTTTTGAATTTAGTTGAAATTATAGCACCACATTTCCAAGAAAAATGAACCTTTTCACAAGAAATTTGAATAAAAACATACCAAGATACAAAAAAATGAAATTTTCCAAAACTAATTGTAAAGAAAAAAATCATTAAAGCATATACATAAGAATATTAGCTATGGAAGAACAAAATTAAACAGCATCTTATTCCACATTAGAAAAAAAAGCAAGTGTGTAAAGAACTAGACTAATTATTTCATCCTTTGACCTAAGACTTATCATTAAAGTTACTGTAAAGTGTATTCATTGTGTGCAGTTCCTGAACCAAAGTCAGTTTATTTCATGATAAGTTTAAATGCTTTTCCACTTTCTGATTCTTGAAAACTTTTCTAACAATGCTTATGAAAGTTAGAGAAAATGATTTTCTAGAAGCTATCTCACTTGCAGGAACTTAAACTGCAGATGAAATTTTTTGCAGTTCATTCTGCATATTGGCACTTTTGCTGGGTGACCTGTGGCACGTTCCCAGACTTAGGAACTGTTTTCCTTGTAAAAACAGATGCCTGCCTGTGGCATAGCTAGCCACTGTCGTGCCCACTTAGCAACATGAAAGTTAGAATGGAGTCTGAGCAGAGCCCTAGAGCGGAAACCTGGAGCAGATCTCCTGCACATTGGAGATCACATCCTTTCCCTCTTTTTTCTTTTTTGTTTTTTCCCCTCTTTCTATTACCCTATTCTTTCCAAAGAAAATAGAGAGACTGTCAAGAAATGTAGATACTTGTGTAATGTGCTTGATTGGAAATAGTCCGAACATTGGAAAGCAAAATTCAAGATTGTTATCCAATCTTGGAGTGGAGTTTCCTGGTACATCACACTGGAAGATATTTCCAAAGGTGTGGAAGGTGGTTATTCTCATAGTTTCTAGGACAGTAATACACTGAAGGTTAATAGCCCACTTATGCATTTAGGAAATGTTTATTTATACAAACCAGTGTTTTAGATATGATTTCTAGGGACTGGGACCTAAGTGCCTGCCTGGCAAGTATAAAGTCCTGAGTTTGGTCCTCAATAAAAAAAAAAAAGATTTCTATTCCAAGTTATTACATTTATAAAAGAAATAAAAACATTTACATAGTTAGTGTCAACCAGATAGATTAAGGAAGGGTTGCTGCCATCCTGCCCGCTTCTTCATGAATGTAATTCAGAGCTTGTAAGTTGCCCTATACATGCTTGTCACATAGTGATGACAAATAGAGAGGAAAAAGAAAGAAAGAAAAAGGCAGATCTCTTTCCCCTTACAGTATCTGATGCACAGATCCATTGACCCTTTCTCATTTATTGCAGAAGATTCTCAGTTTGATGAGATCTTTTGTTCTAAAAAACAATCCAGAGATACTCAAAATCAGGGTGAGACAATACTACTGCCATTTCCCAGTCATGTTAGAATGGTTTTAGTGTAGTACAGCAATTATTTATTAAAGTAACACATGAAAACACGAATAAAATACTTATATGTACAAGGTGGCACAGTATTATTTCTACCTAATTCTTAATAATAATACACTTGCAAAGATTCCCTGCATTAACATAGTGTAGAACAATAAATACAAACACTGGGTAATAAAAGGACACTAAGTAGGGGCATTGCCATAGATGAAGCCATCAGCCCTGGAAGCATAAAAACTTGATCCCAGCTGGAGTTCAGTTCTCATGAAGCCCCCAATCCCACTTCTCCTGGGAAGTCTCTTGAGGTGAAGTAATATGCTTTGCAACATCACGAGGACAGGAGAAGCCTGCTGTTCTTTTGGATTCCATCACTGCATGGCATCCTGAAGTCACTGCACAGACTGATGAGCAAGAGGGGAAGATCAGGGTTGATCCCTAGAGACTCCACTCACTGCTGGGGCAGAGAAGCTGAAGATTAAGCCTGTGAGCAACAAGAACAAGAAAACATCAGAGTCCAAGAAAGTGAGGGCAAAACAGAGGTGGGAGTGACCTTGAGGTGCTGAACATGGGGCGGGCATCAGCAGTTCTCTGGATAGCAATAGAGTCATAAGAATGCCCCACAGGCTCCTCACACTCAATGTGCATTCTGGAAAGCTAGTCCCTGTCCCCCAGACCAGTCCCTACTGACCTCAGAGCCCTGGACTCTGCTGCCAGCTCTGTGGCTCACCCCAATGCAGGCTGACAGTATGGGGTCATTACCATCCTGAACTGTCCAAGTGGGGCTGGGCTGTAGATGGGGTGCAGAGGCTCACCTGAGCCTGGTAGAGGATGATAATATGGTGTACTGGGGACAGTGGCACTGTGATGATGTGTCCTTGCCTTCTCATGGTGTAGGTGGTGGAAAAGTTCCTTTGGAAAGGGTGGCAGCTCTGTCTTTTGCCAAGGGGGACAGCTGGACTCTGGCTGCTGTGCCTGAGGTGGCCACTGGTGTCTACATTGTCTCTAACATCCTCCACAGCACAGGTGGCTGATGCACACTCTAGCACACATGAGAGCAGCATGAGTCTGGAGAGAGAGTGGGCCAGCCCACCCCCAGCACTAGGCTTGCTTCCTGGTGGGGGACAGCTCTCAGAATGGCCCAGTGACTTATGGATGCCATGCATAAGTGAGGGAAGTTAGTGCTTCTTCTGGCCTGAGACACCTGGCAAGTGAGCCCCTGACCTTCCATCCTTCTCCTCCCCGGCACCTGCTGAGCCCTCTGCACTGAGCTGCATTCCCCAGACCAGAGCTTCCTCAGCTCTCCACAGCCAAGCACCAGGTGGGTTGAAAGATACCTAACCAGCTGGAAACTGATATTTCAAAGTGTATAATTACATGCCTCAAGATTATATTTAGGCTTTTCATTCTGTCCTGTATATACCACCAGGTGTCATAACTCTTTATCTTTTGGACATGCTGTTCTTATGCCTACAGAATCCTTCTTTGGCTAGATTACTTTAAGAAAAATAATTTGGTAAGTCTCAGCTTACAGACCATCTGTACGAAGGTTGCCATTAAGCTTCTGGGGCCACGTCTGTCTTTAGATATCATTATCTTTTACCCCACTACCCTGAGGGGGTTTTACCTCTGTGTGCTCCTCTCAGGTCCAGTTCTGGGTGCTCTCTGAGGACCTATTTGTTAAGACCACTTATGGCACCAATAAGAAAGTACTATACTTTGTCTTTTTCGTGGTTTTGCAGACAAATTTTAGCCTTAGCCACTTAAAGATATAGCAAATGACATTCTCAACTATGCCACCCTCTTCTCTCCTATCCTGAGAACTGATCTCAGAAAAGGGAGCAGATGCATTTTTCTCACTGATGGGCACTGACATGTATAGAAAGACAAATAAACACATTCCACACATTTCTAGTGGCCTTCAAAATTTATCAAGAGTAATCTCAATAGGAACAGTTATTTTTATGATGGTGCCAGGTCTTCTGAAGAAGAAACAACTTTTATTCTCATAGCTGAGACCAAAGAGAATTACATGGAGAAGGCATAAGTTAAAATAATCATTATTTTACACTAAGAAAACTGTGGTCATTATGTATAGCCATCTGCAGTGAAATGGCGGTATTTTCTGAAAATCATATCCACCTTCCTACTGTTGATATAAAAGTGGCAGAGACTCTAGAGTGTGTCTGAATTACTGCGCCAGTAACAATCATGTCCACATAGCTTTTTAAGTGTTTTCTCATTTCCGTGCAGGACTTTATGCTCCTAGTAGATAATGCGTGCAGAAAGCAGGCCTTAATAGTAAATATTTTGGAATTCCTGCATACCCTGAAAAATCATGTTAAATATAATCCTCTGTACAAAATAGATGACCAGTAAATGAAACAGCTGCATTAATGATGTCTAGGGTTTTATTTTGATTGTTCTTAGTGGATTGTGTCTGTGCTTACTGTTGAGTACAGATTCAAAGACTTCATTGCTTTCCCTGAACCTCTTAGGTCTGACGAACGCATTCCTACTCATTCTGCATTTCTGCATCCATTGCTGATTCCTGGTGTTTAGCTTAGAAAGCAGCTACTCACTAGTTTTTCAATTGTCAGTACAGTGGTAGAAATACATATTGTGAGAAAACACACAGCCAGTGGAATTGACAGATGTCAAACTTATTTCCTCCTATTTCATTCTGATCTTTAAATTTTAGAACATGGTTATATAATTCCAAAATTGCACACAGGAAAGCAAACATTATGTGCCTCTGGAAATCAAAAGACACAAAATCATAGATTAAGCATAATTTTTGAAATATGAAAATGGAAGCAGAGTTGAACAATAATTTATTTTGTTGAACTTTTTGGGTCAGCACTATGCCTTGTCTACTGCATAACTTTCTCTTCTTTACTTTCCAGCTGAACAAAGGATGTTTGTCTTCCTCCAAGTTGGACAATGGGCATCTACACTTTGAGCATTTTGGTATCCAGAAGGTTTTGCTTTAATAGACACTGGGGTACAGAGAAACTAGAGCTGGTTTGACACACTAGCTACAACCTGCCCAGGATCTCTGTATCCAGCTCCCATCCTGGCTCCTCCAAGTGTTCAGTACAAAAGCATGGCCAACATCCAAATTCCTCTCTTTCTAGACTGCCCTAAGTTTCTGGTTAAAAAGGGACAACATTTGCATGCATTGTGTGCATCTGGACTGCAGCCCTCTCCTGGCTTCTGCTGCTCTGTAGGAAGCATGGTGGGCACCATTTAACCAGCAAGCAACTGCTGAGTGTCTGTGACAGACCCTTGCTGGTAGCTTCACGGTGGGCACTGGTGGTGGACAACAGTGGCACCCTCACACCACTTTCCTCAGAAAGAAATCCCTTTGTTCAAACCAGTTTGTGGACTGTAAGTATTGATTGATTTTTGTTTTCTATCATCTGTTCCAAAGGATAAAATCTTCTTTAGGTTCTATAAGGTATTACACATTAATTGTGAAAGCACTTAATTGATGTATCTTAAAGTAACTAACATCAGAAAAGAGAATCTTTCAACTTAGTTCTAGGAAAGCTAAAGCTAATTGTACACTGACCAGCTCCAGTATGGGCTTGAAGCTGGCCCGAGCTGCTTTACTGAAGTAGGAAAATGCATTTCTCTTGTCCTGGCTCTTCCTCAGGATATGAGATAATAATGTTGCTTGTGTCCAAGCTTCTGAAATGCTCACATTGATTATTGATTGGCAATTATTATAGAAAGACTGATCATTTCATCGTGTTGGTGCCTTAAGGTTACAAAGCAGAAAGATAGAGGAAGTCCCAACTGAGACTGCATCTTTGGTCATTTTCTTCATGTGACTGGTGACAAGTCCATGGTTCCTGAATGTGCAGAGAAGTGTATCCTGATCTGGTCCCTGAGGAAGGAGGCGGGACTTCCCACACAACTCCTATGGACCCCGGCCTGAGCCAGCCTGGGGTAGTGGTATGTAGTCTTGTTTTCTGGCTTCTGTACTGTATCCTCTTCTTACAAAAACTGAAAATTCACAAAATTTGTCATCTGGGTCCTCCAAGTCATCATTAGCTATGGGACCTTGTGACTTTATCTAAGTAACTGGCACTGTTGGTGTGTGCTTGATGACCCAGGCAGGCTGCACTTAGAAGGAAACAGGAAAACAATGCTTGTTATTCCTCAGACAGGCAAGGTAATTGGAAGAACTTTCTACAACTTCAAACGTTCGTTTCTCTGGCAACTGTTCATAGAGCTTGGTTTTAGACAGACAATAATTTCGCTGACACAAGCGATTAACTTTTCATGTTTTAGAAGTTATTAAAATAACCTATGGTGCAGCTGGCTAAAAAAACAGATATGAGTGAGAATTCAGGAGTGGAAGGAGGACACTTACATATTCATTGTCCAGTGTAGGTGGACTCTTTCTTCCCACACTCAGTTCTTGGTCTTCTCTGCCACACAGTGCTCACCTAAGGACAGAAAGAGGCTTTGGTCTGGGGACTCAGAGAATGGTTGATGAGGAAAATCACAGGTCTTGATTTAGTTTTTTGCTTGCCAACAATGGCCAGATTCTCCTGCAACAGTCATTAGAGCTACAGTTTGCAAATTATTGCAGTCTGGAAACTCGTCATCCAGATACATGCTCGTTTTCTGGCCAGCAGCCTCTTCCCTCTGCAGAAGCAAAGCTAACTCAGCCTTGGGATGTGGGGGAAGTGACTTGTTGACACCATACAGCAGAGATGTCCCTGGGGGTGGTGGTGCATGAGTTGGCGCCACTTAAGCAAACCAGTGTTCAGAGTATAAGGCATGTTGGAGTCAGGGATTCTGCTAAATACATCAACAAGAGCTGTGGGAGATGAGCTACCACAAGGGCTTCAGGAGTCCCAAGGATGCTCAGAGTGCAGCCACACCAAGAGCCCATTGTCTAAGGATGATAGGAACTGCAAGCCCCACTGCTATCTCTGTGCCTCTGAGGGTACCACCAAAATTTCCCCATGATCTGTGTCCTTCAGAAGGACAAGGACTCAGTGTCAGGCCTGTCCTGTAAACACAGCATCAGTGATGAGCTCTAGGTCTTGGAATACAGGTCATTATGAGCTCCAGCTTTTATCTGCTTGTGCTTGTGAAGTTTGTCTTCTTTGGACTCTGTGGATGTCACTGGTCATGTGCAAGGTCATAGCACTGACAGACAGCAGCCAAGACCTCTGAGGACAAGGACACCTCATCCTGTGCTTCTCAGGCCCCAGCTCTGAGAAATGCCGAGCATATCCTGACCATTCTTCAAGTCCTGTTGCACTCCATTCACCATTGCTGATATGCAGCACAGAAAACACTGTCTGAGGCAGCAGCCTGAAGCCCAGGTGGAAGAGTAAATAGAATAAGCTTCCATTGAGTCCTGATGTCTGTCTGGGCTCATGTAAAGCATGTCATGGGGAAATTATTATGGTTTAATACCCTCTTCAATTCTCTCTGACCAGGAGTGGATGAACTAGAGCAATGCAATAGCAGGATGCTCTCTACAGTGGTTATAGTGATGATATCTATTGCAATAGCACGTGAAAAACATCAATTTTTGGAAAAACAACCAAAGAGAAATGTAACAAATGTCAACAGTGGTTGTGTCCAGGCAGTGTTTCATGCATAATCTAAAAATTCTTTTCTTTTCTCTATTTTTTCTATCTTTTACTGTGCATAATGTGTTCATCTATTAAAATGGTAGCTTAAGTCATAAGGAAATAGTGTGCCTCAGTAATGCACATCAGTTTGCCAAATTAAGAGTGAGTTAAGAAAAGGGAAGACCAGTGAGAGCCAAGGCAGCAAGGAGGCCAGGGTGGGAAGGTAGCCTGTGTCATCCCCGAAAAGTGGCTGTGTGGACGGCTTGGTACGTGTGCACTCAATTTGCTCATTTTCAATCTTGTTTGTTTCTTTTTAATATGCTTTTCTTTGTAAAAATAAATACGCAGAAAGTTAAAAAGTAGCTACTCATCTACTAGGGGAATTATGCTAATACACAAGCCATTGTGACAGTGACCCTCTGAAAGTGGAGATCCTGGATGATTGATGATCAGTGGGGCAAGAGGTGGGGTGGTGCTGGCCAAGGATGCCCCTCCCTGTGCAATGGGACAGGGCCAAGGAGAGGGTGAAACCTGGGGCATCCAAGGTAGGAAATGGTTACCAATGGACATGGTGCAGAAGGCCCCACACAGACACGCTGAGGGCTTGGCTTAGTCTTGGGTGACAGTAATTCAGAATTCATCACAGGTCTCTAAGCATAGGGACGGAGTGAGAAGTTCAGATTTGCATGCTCTTGTTTTAATGGTTCAAAATCAAGCAGTTTTTGAAACTTTGCTCAGAGGCATAGAATTCTTTTTCTTCTTTTTGTAATTATGTATTCTCAAGTAGTTTTCTTTATAATTTTTATAGTATACACAAGATAGGTAGGATAGATATACAGCTACTTTCTCTTAGTTCTTTGAGAAGAAAGGTTTGTACTAATATTGTTCGGACAAGATAGCATGTCTACATCTTGTCCTCTATATAATTACTACAAAGACAACAATATACCATATGTTAATTATTGTGACTGTCCTACTGTTTGGAAACTGTTTCATTGCTATTTTATCTTTTTTCTCATAAAAATAAATAAAAAAGGACATTAAAAGTGAAATAACATGCATAAACTTTCTGAGATGTAGGGTGCGAACCATTTAAAATGCATCATGTTACTCTTGTCCTGCAGTCAGCCAAGGTGATGTCCAGCTTGGCAAGACATCTTACTAAGCCAGTTGGCATCCTCCAGGATTTCCGAAGAACTCCTTTGATCTGCTACATTCAGCATGTACTGTTCTGTAGACCCGTATTCTTATTACACGCTTGTGGGCTTTCTCTTTGACATTATAGAAGCTTGAAACATGTCTGGACTACTTTTGAAGCAGACAGAGCCCATCTAGAGAGTCAGTGTGGCTGGATGGGCAGTGTGACTTCAGTGGAGGGAGATGACTCTGGGTCAAGGAACCCTTCTCCCAGGAGAGATGACTACATGAGATCTTGGCTCCCCAGGGCTGCTACAAATCCAGACACTGTAGCTCCCACTGTCATGCTGAGACCTGGCCTGCTGCTGCCCACCTCCACTTCCTTGGAAATATTGTTTATTGGCTCTTAAGATGAAACAATTCATCTTGAGATAAAAGTCCAGTTTATATATTGAAGTAAATGACTGTTGGATATACTTGTGTGAGCAGGAAGCTCAAACATCTTGGGGCTACTGACTTACCCACCTTCATTGACACTGTTTTTCATGGATTGGAAACAAACAAGATAAATTGTAATATTCATAGATTCTGGGGTTTTAAAAAATGTATTAGTACAGTGTCTACAGGGTCTCACTATGTAGATTGGGCTCATAATAGTTCTCCTGTGTTCAGCCTCCCAAGCGCTGGGATTATAGGACATGCCGCTACACCCAGTCTCAATCTCAGTCTTGGTGCACCCCAGGGGTGGGACTGGCTTTGCACACTGGGAATCAAACCCCACTCATCAATTCTGGTTGGGCAGATACTTGTTCTACCAAGTTGTTTCTAAATTTAAACAATATAAAGATATTTATATAGGTTATAGTAGAAAAATGGACTGAACTTGTGAACTTATGTGAAACCTATTCCTTACAGGTTCTGTCCTAGTTATATTTTAGGAAAAATATCAGTATTGGTTCTAAGATACCTGAATAAAAATAATTTTAACTGTGTAACATTTATTGGATGAGCATAATTTTATAAGCGAAACACATCTGAATAAATTTTGAAAGGCAGTGGGAAGAGCTGGGTATGAGAATATTTAGGGGCTATACACTCTTGTTAGTGGTAGACTTTAGTAAGCATTATGGTGGTCCTGGTGCCATTTGGTTATTGCTATGCTTGAGCTAATTGAAATCTGCTCTGAATCCTCCTTGTCAGCTTTGCTATGTCACCATGAAGTTTTCATGGTGATCACGTGGGAATCATTTCTCAGAGGTCATTTGAACTTGGCAGAAAGAAAAGTACCAGAGAGTCTATTTGCTGTTTCTACCATATTTCCATCTTAGATCTGAGACTAGAAAGGAGGAGAAGTTTGGAGGGCCAAGGCTCTGTTAAGATCCCATCCTGGTGGGAGCCCTAACTGAAGAGTCCACAGTGCAGTTTTAGTTGTGCTGAAAAGTTCTTTCACAATTATTGTCTTTTCTGTGAAAGCCTGAGAGAATGTTTTCCCTCCATGTGACTCTCCTTAGGCACACTCTACATCATCGATCACTTTCCTCTTTGGCCCCATAATCTCCTTGATCAGAAAATTTGGGACACTACCGAGTTACATGACATTACAGTACAAGTTCTCATATGTCCTGAGTCTTAATTGACCTTGGAAGGCTAGGGCCAAAATGTTGGCTTTCCTTGCAGCCCTCCTTTTCATCTAATTTTGGTCTGCAAACTTAGGTTGTTAACCATCCAGAAGACAAGCTTATTGTTTTTACCATACAACTTAGACTGTTAAGTTTAACCTCACTATCTGTCTGCATATCAAACATCTTAGGCATAACATGGAATAGGTATTTTTCATCAAATATTGACATGTTGAACTTTAAGTCCCTACAGAATATGATAAAAAGCATTTAAAAATTAGAATATATTTTAAAAATAGGCATAAAGAATTATATACTTCTTATGTTTACACATAATTCCAAAAATCTCACCATATACAACCTTGAAGCAGCAGTCCCACAATATTCCTTTTCCTGTCTTTTGCTTTCATTCACCACCCCCTTCTTTTTGAACAACCATCTACCTGAGAGACTTTATAGCAGCAACTGGCATGTCATGACAAGCAGCCCATATTCAGAATACCAGAATGACAGGCACTCCAAACATGAAACTACTATTACAGATTACCATCTGCAGTGCAGTAGCTTAATTCACAGGTATATAGTTAGTCAGGGTGAGAATCTTTCCAATTAACTGCTAGATTAAAAAATCTTCTGGAGATTCTCAGGATCATTGCCTTGCCCATCTTCTACATATAACTGTATGTCTTGACCTTTCAATGGCCGTGACTCATCCACATGGCTGACACTGACAAACAATCTGAGGTACAAGATCTCAGGATAAATCCTGAGGGGATTTCATTGATCTTATCAGACCCAAAAACTACAACTCTTGTTGCATAGGTCCTGCTTTACCTTGGTCTTAGCCACCCAGCAGAAAAGTATAAAAATGAAATATAAGAAGTAAAGCCATGCTGTTATGTTGAGCTGCAGGGGACTCAGGTCAACAATTTCTGACATTGCCAGTCAAGCAGAAGACCCAATACTATTATGAACTACTGAAATGTTTTATATTATTTTGCTGAGTTAACACACTTATAATATTCAAATAATGGAACTTAACAAAAAAGGGGATACAGATAAATGTCCATTTTGTATCTGTGTATTCAAAGTGGTTAGGATAGATATATAGTTACATTCTCTTAATGAATAGAGTGATTTGTTCTGATGGTGTTTGTAGATAGGCTATCATGTCCACATCTTGTACAGCAATTAACCACTGGGAGGAATGTATGCAATGTGTTAATTATTAAGACTGTCCTACCAATTTGATTTGAAACTGTCTCATTGCTATTTGTTTATCAATAAAATTATGGAAAAAAATAAAAAAAAATTATTGTCCTTTCTTTTTTGACACAAGAGATTATTTCTGATCTTATTTTTCCTATTGCCTAATGGACTGGTGTCTTTACTTCAGTTGCTATCATTTCAGAAGTTTCAGGTGTGTGACTTCCAAGTTCCTGTATGTTCTTGTCTCCTGGGTTTGTTCTGGGTCGGCTGGAGGACTGAGATTGCCTTTTGCTCCTGAGTTTTGACATTTTGGAAGCTCCCAATAATCACCTGGACTTAGTAGTGGTGGGAGAGTGGTGAGGCTTGGGTTAGTTAGGTGCCTGCTACAGTGAGAAGAAGGGTAGGACTCAACAAGGTTCTTACTACTAGTGGGGTTTACTGGCTGATGCTCAACAAAGTTTCAGTGTAGGTGGTGGGTGTTGGCTGGATTTACCAGGATCCCATGGGCTGCCCTGAGTCCTTCTAAGTTCTTAAATAGTTGGTACCAGGAAAGCTGCACCCCTGCTCATGCTAGGCCCACAGGTCTCGGCTGTCCAGAGTCCTGATGGCTGCCCAGAGTCCTCTTAAGTTCTTAAAAGCCCACGGTGCATCTTCCAACCAAAAACCATGCAAGGATCCATGGGGCTTTGTCCAAAGTAAACCATGAGTCCAGTGTCTTGCATGACTTCCTAGTGGTGAGTGGAAGAAGAAAGGTGGTCCCATTGCAGTCCTTTCTCAGGAGAGCTCTCTCAAGAGCCTGAGGGAGCCAAGGGCTCAGGCCTGCAGGGACAGGCAAGTGCTGCATGAGAGGTCAGCCACTGTGGGCTCCCGGGCTGCTCCCTGCCCTGCTCCCACCTGGAAGGAGAGGAGCCCACTTGGCCAGGGTAATGAGGACCTAGGGAGCCTGGCCCCTGAGGGTTTCGTGTGTGTGTGTGTGTGTGTGTGTGTGTGTGTACACGCGCACGTCAGCAGTATGGCTCACTGTGAGTGGCTCTCCATGAGAAGCTGCTCTGGGCTGCACAGGGAGGCTCCATGTGGCTTTCCAGGAGAGGCACTGGCCTGCCTGGCCTGGGACATCTGGCCTCTCTCAGCACTGGGTGTCTTGCTCCTGATCTGGATAATGCTTGCAGGTTTTGTTTTACATAATTGCTTTTAAATTCAAGAAATATTGTACTGCAGTTTTCCACCCTTTAGCTCTCACTGTATGTACTCCTTTGGGGACTGGTTTGTGTAAGTAAAATGTGGTCAGACTGAATGTTATAAACATGCTAATGAAACTAGATATTAGACTTAGAGCTACCTGGATTATTCTGTAAAATTTATAATGGCTTAGATTTATTTTTTTGTGATATCAATGTTTTAAATATCTGGTATGCTCAAAATAAGCAATCTGTGCCTTTTTATTTTTATTTTTTTTCAAAGTTTTATTGATAAACAGATAGCAATGAGACAGTTTCAAATCAAATCGGAAGTACAGTTTCAACAAATAATACACTGCATATATTCTTCTTAGTGGTTAATTGCTTTACAAGAAGTGGACTTGTGATCCTCTTTACAAACACCATTAGAACAAATCATTCTATTCATTAAGAGAATGCAACTATATATCTATCCTAACCACTTTGAATACACAGATACAAAATGGACATTCATCAGTATACCCCATTTTTTCTAAGTTCCGTTATTGAATATTATAGGTGTGTAAACTCAGCAAAATATTCTAAAAGAGTCCAGTAGCCCATAATAGCATTGGGTCTTCTGTTTAACTGGCAATGTCAGAAATTATTGACCTGAGTCCCCCACAGCTCAACATAACAGCATGGCTTTATTTCCTATATTTCGACTTCATACCTTTCTACTGGATGGTTAAGACCAAGGTAAAGCAGGACCTATGCAACAAGAGTTGTAGCTTTTTGGTCTGAGAAGGTCAGTGAAATGTCCTCGGGATTTATCTTGAGATCCTGTACCTCAGATTGTAGAACCTTTGTCAGTGCAACCATGTGGATGAGTCATGGCCATTGCTTGGCCAATGTGCTCTCTGTGAAAGCCTGAGAGAGTGTCTTGTCCCCATGTGACTCTCCTTAGGCACACTCTACGTCATCGATCACTTTCCTCTTTGGCCCATAATCTTCTTGATCAGAAAATTTGGGACACTACCGAGGTACATGACGTTACAGTACAAGTTCTCATATGTCCTGAGTCTTAATTGACCTTAGAAGATTAGGGTGTGCCTTTTTATTTTTAAAACCTCTTAGGTATCTTTTTATTATTGTTGATATAACTTACTCATATCTGTACTTTGAAAGGTATATATATTTCAAAAATAAATATACCAAGTAGATTAGAATAAATGAAGATTTCAACAATGGGAAATTGTGATTATCTTTATTGAGAAGCTCAATTAAAATTGTATAAAATGATATGCAATACGACTTATACTTTAATGGACTAATAATGTGATGCAATAAATATTGCTGGTTCTGGTTGACTGTATACAGCTATTACCAATAATGAAACAAAGCAACAGTGATACTAAAAAAAAATTTTATCAACAAATTGAGCACTTTTTCTGCTACCCCTCCAGGACAGGGAGGATGTCCAGCCCTGCTCTCCTTGGAACCCATCTATAAGCCTAAGAATAGCAAGCTTGGAAGGCTAGATAGCCTAATGGCCTTATCACATGGTATTTCTAAGTTCCTATTTCTTCTATACAAAACATTTCTACTTTGTAACAGTTACTAGTAAACTGAAAAAGTTATGCTTTTTGGTTATATTTCATGTGGCAAATCCAAGGGTATAGTTAGACTTTAAAATAACCATTTTCCATCTAAACAGCTGTCTGAGAACTCACCAGACTCCTGAGAAATTGTCTTGACAGTGAGCAGCTTCACATTCTCTTTGTTGCACTGCGGTCTGTTTGAGATGGAAAACAGCATTAGCACAGCTCTATCAGGGTGTGTCTGTGGAGGAGTGAACCAACACCAAAGTGTGAAGACAGACACAGGCCTGCGTACACTGCCACGTGTCTGAGGCAGAACCTGCGTTTCTTCATGTGCAAACCCATGTGCACTTTTAGCACTTCCCCCTTCTGGAATCAGAGCAATAAAGCCTCTCCCTCCACTGTAGAGGAGTCAAAATTAACTCCGCCATCAGTAGGGAGTAGGGATGCCGTCACCGTGTCACCTCACGTTTGTCTCCACTCTGAATTATGAGAGGAAGATACAGAAATGCTCCCAAGCTGGTGGGGTTGGGTTGGGCTCTCAGATTCTTCCTGTTCATTTGTCCTGGACCCTGCAGTACAGCGTCTGACCTGTCTGTCACCCAGGAGTCCCACACCACCATTCACACATCCAGCCATTTTCCAGCCTTTGTGCCCTCCCTGGGACCTCACAAGAGCTTTGATTCTAACTCAGAGTGGTATGTGCTCAAAGGCTGCTATTTCTAACATTCACAATCTGATAAGGCACAAAACCACTTATGTAAATACAGACCACAAATGCAGGTGAAAAAAGATTCAGCTGCAGCCCTTGTCTTTTACATGGAAACAGTGGCCACGCTCTTCACCACACTTGGTGGGCACAGGTGCTTGGGTTGCTCCCAGCTCCTCTTCTGCTTTTGTAACATCTCAGTAGAAACCATCGGCTTTCTGGTTTTGCCATTCAGAGCCAGCCTGGGGACAGGCATGATTTCTCCTAACTGTGAAAACATGCTGGAACTGTCACTGGGGAGACTTTTAAAACCCTAGATGTGTGCTCTGTTGTAGTTTCTTTCTTATTCAGTTTATGTTCCATTTTAATTTTCCCTCTCATCCTACCACTTTATCTCCACTTAAGAACCATCTTCTTAGTTGTTGGACTTCCTCTGTTCAATACTGAGAGGCTCTTAGAAACAGCCAAATGCCAGACAGCAGCCTCATATTTCTTTTTCCTCTTCCCTTCCTCCCTTCTTCCCCCCCTTTTTTCTTTCTTCTTTCCCTTCCCCCATTTATCTCTCACATTTCTTTCAAAACAACATAAGGAATAAGTACAGAATTAAACATTTTTCTGTGTGTAATCTATAAAGTCAAAGTATCTGGAAAAAAGAAGAAGAAATGCCTTACTTACTGATCACTTCCATTTTCCGGGGTGCCTAGAAGAGGAGGTGATGGTTATGAGAATGGCGGGAACTCAGGAGCTAGAAACCTGGCCCGGCCCTCTCTGCTGAGCCTCTTCCCACAGCAGTTCCAGTTTTCTTACTCTCCCACAGGAATTCTACTCTCCTTTATACACTGCTCCTTCTCAGCACATGAATACTTATGGTTAGTGGCAAATGTGGTGTAGACATTATTTCTAATTGCATTTTAAGATCACTTATTCAGCTCCTCAAAAATGTCTTACAAAATATCACTGAAGTTATGAGTTATGATAAAAGTAGTAAACATTTTAGTTGAAAAAATATTGTGAAGGACATATGGTCCCTAACCCCACTCAGACTTCTCCTCCCCTCTCTGAACACACTTGTCTCTTACCACCTTCTGAAGCAGTTTGGACCACTTTCCTGAGTGTCTTGGTGCCTTCCTAGCTGCCTTGATGTCCTGAACCTATTCAAAATATTTACCTTGCATGGGGTAATGTTTCTGGATGGGGGAGGAGCAGATAAGAAGAAGTTGAGCTGGGGCAGAGGCAGAAGTAGTACAATGCCAGAGCTGGTGAGTACGGTGGGTGAGGGTACACCATAATATGTCTACAAAGCTGCCTGTCCATTGGATGAAACTAGGAAACAGCATTCACCACATTTTTTTTTATTGTACCTCATAATGACACCAGTGAAAAAGGACGTCTACAGCTGCTTCAGAAAGTGGCAAGAACCATGGATAAGTGTACTTTAAGCCAAAGGGAGTTTTGAAGGAGATTCATGGTAGTGTGCCTTTATTGTAAAAAATTTAAAAATTTAAAAATTCCCTAAATATTTTAATCATCCTGTCTTCTGAACTTAACTAGTCATTTGTACAATCTGCCAGGTGGCTTCTCAAGAGTCAGGAGGAAATGCTTGCATTCAGAGTGAGGACTCAGGGTAGCTCAAGGTGTACACAATCTGGCCTCTCTGTAGTAGATGTCTGTGGTCAGGTATTGTCTTGGGGCAACTGAGGAGTGTGACAGATTAAGGTGTCTCTGTGAGGCTCCAGAGAGCATCCAGTCTCCATAGCTTCCATCTCTTGGGTCATATTAAGTCCTACCATTGGAATAGGCCCTTCAAAATTAACTCCTGGCTTTCACCTTCCTGACCCTTAATTCCACAAACATTTTGTCTGCGTCTATTTTTGTTGCATTGATTGAGATAACCAATCTTGACTCTTAATCCTCAGGAGTTAATCCAGGACACCATATGCTGGTCATGCTTGTCACCAGTGGGGTCTAATTTGTCTTCTATTCATCAGTAGGGCTGAGCATTTAAAAAAATCCCAGTATGTGTCAAGTGCAATTCCACCATGATGCCCATGGCCCTGTTTCAGAATGAACTGCTGGGTTTGCACGCCTGTTGTAATGTCTCTCTTCAGGGTCCTGCAATGACAGGGTCCCTAGTAGGCTGGCAATGTCAGTGGTCACCAGCAGCATACCCACCATGCTTGCTCAGGGTCAAGTTCAGCCCAGATAAATTTCATTTCAAACTAACGTCTCTGCCATCATATTATCTTCCAGAGAGCAGAGTGGGTTTAATAATTTTCTGAACTTAATGAAGCCTCGCCCACAAACTTGAAGAGTGATTAGCTGTGGATGTTTAATGGTGCTGATTTAATGATATGAATGTTATAAATTCAGTTTGGAAAACAAAGATAACAGTAACTGAATAGATTTGGCTGATGACATAATTTCCAAGTTTGATCTTCAAGCAATATATGTCATAAGAATAACTGTGCAGCAGTATGAATTTCATACAGCCACAGAATTATATTTAATAGAAAATGTCAACTTTTCATACAACACATTTTTGAATTTTCTTTACGCAGAACAATTTTTCAAAATAGCACATTTTTGCAAATGGATTTAGCATATTAATTTTTACCTATCATTTACACTTATCACTCATAGTTTTAATTTATATGGCTGATTTCTCATTAAAAATACTTGCGGATTAAAAATCTTACAAAAATAATGTGATTTATAAAAATGCTCTTTCCTCTCTGAAAACTGGGTAAGAAAGCATATTTAGACATTAATAAGAATCGTCCTTGCTTACTCCGACAGGAAATGAATGACACTTATTTGTTTTCCTATTTTTTCCCTGGAGTTAAGTGTGCATAGCTGCTTGGTCCCTGACTTCAGCCGCATTGTCACCATCAGGCACAAGGGTCTGTGAGACCCGGAATAGCTGGTCTGGCAGCTGCCATTAGTGTCCCAGGCCCACTGCCCAAGAAGTAAGCAAAGCACGGTGAAGCTAAGGTGCCTTATTAAAATATGTGTGTTTTTTACTTCATAAAGTTTTGCTAGTGAAATACTTAGAATCAAAGATGGAAAAGGAAATATGCTACTGCACTGGGCACTCAAGTACAGAGCAAGGGCTTGGCAGATACCAGGTGCCGCACAGTGTTGGTAGCATATGGGTCAGGGCTGGAAAGGGTTATAAGGGAACCCCAAATAAAGAAGCACCTATACTATAATAATATGTGAGTCAAAACATCTTTTTTTCCAGTGCTAAGGTTTGAACCCATGGCCTTAGTGCCAAACTATATCTCCAGTCCATTGAAATTTTATTTTGAGACAGGGTGCAGATAAATCATTAAGTTTACATAGAAGGAGCTTGAACTCTGCATCCTCCTGCCTCAACCTGCCAGAGGGCTGAGATTGAAGGCCTGTGCCATCACCAGATTTTGTGAGATTGAAATGGAAGGGGCCATTCCTCCTGCTTGAAGTAGTGGTATGTTATAAAAAGATACTACAAATTCATAGATGAGCTGGGACAGATAGGGTGAGGTGGAGGTAGGTTCTAGAAGGTGGGCGGGTGGCTGGATATGGAGGAAGGAACTGTGGGGAGTGGCCGGAACTATGTCACCAGAACCACATGAGGTCACCAGAGCAGCTCTGGCTCAGGAGGCCCCCCTGCAGTGCAGGTAGTGCAGACCCTCTAGTGGCAGAGGAACTACAGGCTGAGCCATGGGTCGAGGAGGTTCAGGCAAAGCCTTAAGCAATGTGGACCCAAGGTGCCTGAAACAGAACAAAATGAGAGAATATAGAGACAGACCACTACTCCTTCTCCCTGGCCCTGAGAAGGCAGAGAGGAAGGCTGGTGAGGCAAGGACACCCCCAGAGTTTGTGTCTGCTTTTATCAAGAGTTTTCTTGATAACAATGCCTGCATACAGGCTCATTAATTGTGACAAATACACTCTAGTAACTCAAGCTAAAAATAGAGAATTTAGGCATCATATAGACAAGTGCTCATTGTCTTTGCCAATTACCCATAAAATAGATCTGTTCTAAATCTAAGGAGTATTCTAAATTGTAAGGATTTATTTTAAATAGAAAGTTTATATAAAAATAGAAGACTACAACCTGACCATGGGAGACGCCTTCACCAGAAGGAAGCAGAGCCCTCCAGCTGGGAGCTGAGGCACAGAGCAGCTCTAGCCCCAGCCTCCTGACCAAGTGCCTCAGCGAGCCCTCCTGTGCTGTGATGTGGAAATGGAGCACAAACCTTCCTGAAGACGAGGCGCGCCATCTAACACCTACCGTGTTCTGTGCAGCCCGCAAATTCATTAGCAAGAGTCCCCCTCCCCCACTTATTATCTACCAAGAGCACTACATTCCCCAGCATTCACTGGCTTTCTCTGCCTTCTTCTGCCTTTGTGACTGAGCTATCATATGCCATTTATTTTTCTCTATATAATCACTCTTTCCTTTTAAGTGTGTAAGTTCAAGTTTAGTTGGAGCAAATATTCATTCTCCTTTTAGAAAATAAAATAAAATAAAATAAAATAAGTCACCTACCTGCGTCTTTCTTCCAGCACATTTGATACAAACCCACCAGAACAAATACTGAGAGAGTTATAACAATCAAAACTATGACCACCGGCAAAATGATACCTAGGGAATATGGAGACATTGGTGATTAGTGTGGTGGCTGGATTTTGCGTAGATAGTTTCTGAGCAAATTACGCTTTAAACATGAGTCTAATGATTATATTGTAGGTGAAGCAAATTGATGGCTCATGGCTTTGCTCTTGTGCCATTTCTGAGGTGTCCACTTGATGTCAGTCTTGCAGCCTTTCTGAAACGCCTTCCACCCTGAGAGCCATCACTCCCTCTCCCTGGGGCTGAGGAGGAGAGGAAGGCTGGTGAGGAAAGGACGCTCCCAGAGAGCAGCGAAGCCACCTCACATATGGTGCTCCACAGGACTTCATGTGAAGTTACTGGAAAAGAAGCAGAGCCCGCGGAGCGCTGCTGTAGTCCTAACGTTGGCTTTCCCAAACACTCGTGCACATCTTTTCTGTAATACTATTTTAAAACTAGCAACGACATAATATGAGATAAGCAGATAAAATCCCCACAGACTGACCAACACAATTCAACAAAAGGGTATTTGTCTGCTCGGGGTATTGCTGTGATTGACTTATGGTAGTTTGTTTCTGCTTTTATTAAGAGGAGCATTTTTATTTTCTTAAACAAATTCCCCTTCTTCTTTGCTAATCATTTCTTGGCTTGACTGTGTCTGAAGATAGCAGAGAAGCCTCAATGGACACAGAGCACAGGGTCAGGAGGCCAGGCCACGCTTAGTTAATGTCACCTTTTCCTGCATATGTTTCTGTACTTAATAAGGGGTGAGACAGGGTCTCTGGTCCCCGTGGGTGGTCTGCACCTGCACAGGTCAGGTATCAGCCTAAGAGCATGTGCTGATTTCATACCAGGCCTTGTGTGGGGTCGTGGCTCCCTCCTCAGGTGGAGATCCCTGGACCACGAGCCGGTCAGTAATTCCTGTGCTAATTTATTGAATGAAATGACTTTCCTCCAATCCAAGATCATTTTTTTATGACTGTGGATTTGTATATACCGTCTGATTCTCAGTTGGTAGTCAAACTGAATGTTCTATACTGGTTTTAGCATGTGTGTATGTGTCATGTGACATACACCTGCTTTAGCTGAAATAGACTTTCCCAAAGGGCATTGTTGAGATAAGGATGTCAAGGAAAAAATGTCTCATTTTTTGTACGCATTATTTAAGATATCTAATAGCCAAATAAACATTGAATATTTTCAAGGCATGGAGCATGATGGCTTGTCACAGTTCATTTGTAGAGGAACCTTTATATGTGCACTTTGGTTTTTTTTTTTTAAACTATTGCTGCCAGTCATCTTTGGCCCTTGGTGGTAATTTCCGAGCACAAATGTAAAAAAAAAAAAGTCACCAAGATATATTAATTAAAATCATATTCACAGGAAATTCTCCAAGCAGGCAGCTGTTATACAGCATTAGGATGGAGCTGCAGGCTCAGAGCACTTGAGATAAGGAATCCTCTGAGGGTTCCCTTCTTTGCCGTGTGCCGTATCTCTACCCTAGTCCCTTACCATAGCTACCACCAGGAATAGAGATGAATTTGTTACTCACTGGAATAAGAGGAGCTGGGTGAAGAAGAACTTGTATCTTTTCCATCTCCGATGCCTATTATTTAAAAAAGAAACAAACAAGTGACCTTTGGTTATTATGGACCAGCCTTCACACTTCTCCATTTACCCCCAGAGAACAAAATGTTTGTGAAGCATTGCTTTGATGCTTCACATGCAAATATTTATTCTGAAAGTGGTCTGCTTTGAAAGCAGCGCTGGGTGGGCTTTCCTGGGGGAGGACATACTGTGTGGTGCAGGTCTCTACCGAGACTCTGAGGCCGTACCTTGCAACTGTGGGACCTTCTCTGAAGCTGTTAGTGTGGAAGTTCCCACTGCAGCTTCAGAAGGTGGTGGATCTCGCTGCTGGGTACTAACTGTAGAAGAATCACAAATCCAGCGTCAGACTTTGCAATTAAATCTTCAGGTTGGACTATTGTTTTGCACATTCAAGCATTTTCATTTCAGAAGACCTGGGCAAACTGTGCATTATTGAACAAACGTTACACACAATGGCAGCAATAAACTATAAGTTCATGTATTCCTCTTGGAAAGATGGTTAAACCTGAAAGCACATGAACTATGTATCATCTTTATATCTTCAAGAAGTAGCCAAGAAAATCCTTGTCTCTTTAATTAGTCAGGATAGCCTGATCAATGTGTTGT